GGGGCCCACGCAGCCGCGAGCGCGTGCCGGGGGCTGCGCGCTCTGTGGCACCGCTTCGGGCTCGGACGGGCGCGAGCGCTTGTAACGGCGCGGCCAGGACGCTCCCAGGCCCGCGCGTTGTGCGGAGGCCGTGACCACTGGTGAGTGACCACGTGGGCACGCCGGCCGGCAGCGCCTCTTCTCCGAGCCGTCCCGGCGCCGGATGCGGGTTGAGGTGCTGGTTTTCCGCCTCTTCAGCCACGGCTCTGAAGATGAACATGAACCTGCGGGAGCTGTACCTGGCCGATAACAAGCTGAACGGGCTGCAGGACTCGGCTCAGCTCGGCAACCTGCTGAAGTTCAACTGCTACATACAGATACTCGACCTGAGGAACAACCACATCCTGGACTCAGGTGAGGCCCCTCGCCGCTCCTTTGGGCAGAGCCCCAATTCCCTGGAGTTTTGACCCGGTTTTAAGGCGGGGAGGAACTCGCCTGCGGGGCGCAGAGCTCGAGGGGGGGGCCCCCGAGCTGAGCCGAAGCAGGAGGGTTGCGCAGAGCAGCTTCAACCTGTCAAAAGGATTTTGGCAGGGTAAACCTCTCGGTTTTTTAAAGCTAAGATCATTAGAGAAACTTTGATCGCTTCCTGGGCCGGGCTGCAAGGTGCACGGCAGCTCCCCAAGGTAGGGAGAGGTGGGGATGCCTCACGCCTCGGAGTCGTGTCTTTCGGCTCCCTCCGTCTCTCGCTCCCATCTGGTTTTTCTCCTCCCCGCTCCCCAGCGCCAAACGAGTGGCCAAATCTAATATCAATCCAGGAATTGCGAAACAATCCCAGCCCGGACTTCAGTCCCGGCTGGTTCTGGTCAGCGACGCCAATTACTCGGCCGAGTGCCGCGGTTTGGTGGAGGAGCCACGCTTGCTCTGCACGAGCCGTCCCGGCTGCCTTCGGGTTGGGTATAAAGGTAGCCGAGCGTGACCGAGTCGGATGTCACCGGCGCTGTTGTGGCCACCCATGCTCCCGGATGGGTCCCACCCTAAGGTGCAAATATTAATTTGCCGCCTTCCAGGTCAGCTGCCACGTCCCTCACGTCTTTGGGCGCTTAATAACGAGCGGCGCTGGGGCTCTACGTGTCGGAAGTCACTTGGTGGGCGTTGCTGTGGGTTTCTGCAGCATCGCTGGCGTTGGGGTGCTGGGCGCTTATCAAATAAGCATGTTTGCAGCAGTTTAAAACGGCGCCTGCCCTCAGCCCGGGCAGGATTGGGCCGGGAAGGTGTATAGAGCGGTGGAGGATCCGCCTCTGCAAACTGCTCCGTAGCCCCGTGTCTGGCGAAGAAGGGGGACGGTGACCCAAAGGAAGGGGTGCCCGCCCTGCCTCCAGCCTCTGCCTGCGACCGGGTGCCGCCCTGCGTCCCCCCGCGCTGCGGGCACGGCGTCACCCTGAGCGCACGGCCAACCCCAACCGCCCCATGTCCCCGCGCCTCCGGCTCCCTCCCCGGGGCTCTCGTACCCTGCTCCAAAGGCTTCAGCCTAGCGCTAATTAATTTTACACGCCAAGAGGTTTAATCGCCCGTTTGCACACACGGGAGCGACGCGCTTTGCCCGCAGCCGAGGTCAACTCAAGCAGCTGGGGAAGGGGTTTGGAGGGGGGACGGTGTTCGGAGATGCTGCCGGCACCGGAGCTTGGCGTAACGATGCCGTGGCTTTCTCCATCGCTGCCTGGGCGCTGTTGTCCCTGCCCGTCCGTCCTACCCAGGATCGGGCAGCACCTGAGCGGAGGGACGGATCGGAGGAAGCAAGGGAAGCGCTGTTAGAGCCGGCAGGATCCGCGCTGGCGGGGGAGGGCTGACCCCCGGCTGTTTTCCAGGCTTGGCGTACGTCTGCGAAGGGCTGAAGGAGCAGCGGAAAGGGCTGGTCACTCTGGTTTTGTGGAACAACCAGCTGACTCACACCGGCATGGCCTATCTGGGGATGACGCTGGTGAGTAGATCTCGGCACCTTCCTGGGGACGATGGCTTACCCCCGGGCGCTCGGCTTTGCACCCGGAGAGGTGTCTCTCTCGCGACCGCCGGGGCTGGATCCGGGCAGCGGTGGGAGCGTACCGGCCGAGCGGGTCGGCATGACGTGCCCCTGGTGCTGCGTCAGAGGAAAACCTGTCCCTTGTCCCCCCTCCGCCCGCTGCTCGGGTGTCCCTGGCCGCGGCGGTGTGGTTAGAGGAAGAGCCGTGAATTAAACTCGCTCGGGCTTGAGACGGACCCGCCGTCCCGTCCGCCTCGAGCTGTTTATCCCCTGGGTACCCGCAGCCTCACACGCAGAGCCTGGAGACCCTCAACCTGGGCCACAACCCCATCGGGAACGAAGGCGTCCGCAACCTGAAGAATGGGCTGATCGGGAACCGCTCCGTCCTTCGCCTGGGCTTGGCGTCCACCAAACTGACCTGCGAAGGTGGGTGGAGGCCGGCGCCCACCGGCCGTGCCGACCGCGGCGGCTGGCGGCTCGGCCGCCAAAGGCTCTGTATCCCCCGCGGAGCTTCCCTTGCTCTAGAGCAGCACGCAGGGTCCGCGTTGGTCCTTGAGAAGGTGGCTTGGTCCGGCTCAGCTCGGCCCTGCGGCTGCGTGGGGTCTCTGGGGGGGGGGACACAGCCTGGCTTTAACCAAAACACCGCAGTTGGCCTGTCCGAGGCCACCTCGTCCCGTGGGTTTGGTGCCTCTGGCGTCTTCTGTTCCCTGTGGAAACCTTTTCACTGAGCACGCAGGGTGCCTGGGAGCTGGCGCCCAGCTCCCGCTGACATCCCCCAGCCCTCCCAAAATACCGAGCTCCGCTAGACGCCACCCCAAGGAGCGGCCCGAGCACGGGACCGGCGGTGTCATGGCTTGTACCCTGCCGTCACCGGCGGCTCTCCTGTCCCTCGCAGGTGCTGTGGCGGTGGCGGAGTTCATCGCGGAGAGCCCGCGGCTGCTTCGCCTGGACCTGCGGGAGAACGAGATCAAGACGGGTGGCCTCATGGCGTTGTCGCTGGCCCTGAAGGTCAACCACTCGCTGCTGCGCCTCGACCTGGACAGGGAGCCCAAGAAGGAGTCGGTAGGTAACGGACCCGCTCACTCGCCCGCTCCTCTCTTGCCCTTTCGGGGGGTCTCGTTGAGCCCCCCGGCAGGAAAACGCCGTCCTCGAAGGTGATGCCTCCAGGCTTCCGCTCGGCTCCGCCGCTTTCCCCCTTTTTCAGCTGAAATTAATTCCTGCCCAGCCTGCGGCCACACGGTTTTATGCGAAGGTTGGCCGGTAAAATAAACAGCTGCTTCCCGGCCGGCAGCCCTGCGCTGGGATGCTGAACGCCCCCCACCCCCGCGGCTCGGGTCGGGGGAATTTCTGGAGGTCTCCGGTCCAGCCCCCTGCTCCGAGCAGGACCCAGCCAGCACCCATCGCTCGGGGTCCTGCTCCGTCGAGCATCCCCCGGGATGGGAATCCCACGATCCTGGCAGCCATCGCTTTGAGAAGAAGCCCTTGGGGAACTCGATTCTCGGGCGATTTAATTGTTTCTTGGGGAACCATCAGTCACGTCTTACAGGGGTGGAGGAAAAAAACACCCTGTTACGGTGTGCCTAGGTGGAAAATAAACGTGGAGCCGATTGTTCCCAGGCCGCTGATTCCTGAACCTTCCAAATGACCCGAGGGTTTCTCTGCCCTCGCAGGTAAAAAGTTTCATCGAAACCCAGAAGGCTCTCCTGGCCGAGATCCAGAACGGCTGCAAGCGCAACTTCATCCTGGCCAAAGAGAAGGAGGAGAAGGAACAGAAGCTGCAGCAGTCGGCCTCGATGCCGGAGATCACCGTGACGGAGCCTCTGGAGGAGGGTCCGGCAGAAGACGGCCGAGATGGCAGCGCCGCCTCCACTCCGGAAGAGGGGGAAGAAGCCGGGGAGACCCCGACGGCCTCGGAGAACGGGGACACGGAGCCGGCGGAGGACGACTCCGATTCGGACACGGACGAGGAGGCGGACACTGGGTTAGAGACGAAGGACTTGGGCGAAACGCCGAAACGCCCCGACTCCGCCGACAGCGCTACCGTGCCCCAGCCGCTGCTGTCCCTGGAGAAGCTGAGGGACCGGCCGCCCCCCCTGCACATCGCCGAGGAATTGCAGCGTGACGCCGATACGGGGAGTCCTGCCGCCTCTCCGGCCTCTGCACCCTCCCAGGGAAACGAGAGAAGGATTTCGGTTTCCAGTCCTGGGCGAGGCCATAAAATCTTCGTGGTGACGCGAGTGGAGAGCCTGCCGGAGCGAGCTGCCAGTGCCGCGCGCCCATGGGAGGACGCCGATGCTGCCGCGAAACCCGCTGAGCCCCAGAGCCCGGCTCCGGCCACAAAACCTGAACTCCCGGCGCCAGCGGCGCCGGCAGTGCCGAGCGCCGGCTCCGACCCCGAGCGGGGTGACCCCGCGGCCTGCGAGAGCGCGGCCCACGACACTCCCCTCCCCAACGGGCTGAAGACGGATTTTGCGCGAGCGCTGCCGGAGGCGTCCTCGGACGGCGATGGGAAAATGGGCAGCTGCGCCGCCGAGCACGGTAAGAGCTCCAGAACCGAGGGTCCCGAGCCCCGAGGGTCCCGAGCCCCCCTCCCGGCCGCTCACTCCCAAAATCGCTGCAGGGCAGCGTGGCGGAACCCGGGCTGAGTGCGGAGCCGTTCCCTGCGCCGGCGTCTTCCCGGGGCTTGAAAATCCCCTGCTGCTTTCCCCATGGGATGCCCGCGGGCGCAGTAATTTGTCGCTGGGGGGCTTTTCCTGGGGGCGTTTTAACCTGAAGTGAATCTCCCCCGCGCTCAAGAGCTTCGTTCTTTGAAGTGCTCCTTAATTAGGTTCCCGAACGAGCTGAAGTTAATGAGCCCTGCGGGAGGCTGGTTGAGCCTCTTCCGTAGCGGTCAGGATAACGCGCCGCCTTCCCCCGCGCACAT